GAGACAGGAGACCGAGACAGGAGACCGAGACAGGAGACCGAGACAGGTGACCGAGACCAAGACAAATGTCTTCGTCTCTAGTGCCGTACTGTGCGCCGAGACCAAGACATACTGAGAGAGCAATCACTGTTCAATCAGTATTGCGTTGTCAGTCGTTGGAGGCACTTGTGCTCTGGAAAGTTTTGGGCAGTGTAATGAAAAGCTATCATTATTATTATATTAACATAATATTGTCCTTCAAATTTTCATCCCTGTACGAATCAAGCTGCGAATTAAATAGCGCAGGATAGTGTCGTATCATTTAAATTAATTTATCAGTTTCTTCATCATCTTCAACAGAAAACGACGTCATTTTCACGATAGCGCACGAGCTTCTTTATTACATGAACATATGTGCGCATTTGACCTCCATCTCACCTGATGGAAAGTGACGATGAGGTCGAGGATGTAGCATGCACACCTAAATAATGCCTCTCGCCTTGAAAAGGTCCAAGTTATAGCGTTCGGGGAACAAGTCTGCAGACAGGGTATTCCACTCCCTAGTCGCTCGCCAAACAAATGTGGAAGCGAAACGTTTCGTGCGAATCTGGGGAATATCCACGGGATAAGGGTGGAACCCCAGTCCACGTCTAGTCCCCCGATGATGAAAATGGGAAGGTTCCGCCTTCATTCATTCAAATTATGTAATTCCTTCGCCCACTCTCCTTTTTTTATTCGAACGAGACTCGCGACACCACTGGTCCACGGCAGAAACTGTCTCACTATCTTCAGTCTCGCATCGCAGTCGCCTGTCTCGGTCTCGCTCGCGAACCGGACACATACAAAAGTCGAAAGTCAAATAACGGTTTTAGTCTCCCGTCTCTTTCACCCGTCTGGGTCTCCTGTCTCTCTCTCGACGCGAACCGCCAACTTAAAGTGTCGTGGTTTGTATATATAAATGAAGTTAAATTTTTAATTGAATTGATATTCAATTATTTTTATGTGAATTTACGCCACATCATAAATTTCTCATAGATGACGCTATGGCTAAAAAGTCTGAAAAACCAAATACAAAGATACTACGTACTATATATACGTACTATTGTACTATCGTCTTCAGGTTTTATTTATCGTTGTCGCATATCTGCAGCTGCCGTGTAACGATACATTATCGCTAGGCATGACTGTCGTTTAACAATAAAAAAGTCTACGACACAGTCACGACAGATAGTCATGATATGGGAACAGGCTAGATGCGACAGTCGTCCAACGGTAAATAAAACTTAACGACGTAATGGGAACGCGCCCTAAGGGTTGTCTTAAATTTGCCGCTATCAGAACATTAAAACAAGTAACGCAACATAAACTTTATCTTCTAGTCGATAAGGTTGCATTTCTTTAAACAACAATTGGAAATACACTTTTATAAAAAAAAAACCAACTTCAAAGTTACCAGGCGCAGGACTTGTTCGTCCCGTCACCAGGTATCATAAAAAAATATTTTTAATCGACTTTAAAAAAAGGAGGAGATAGATATTCGACAGAATTTTTTATTTTGAAAAAAAATTAACCCCCGAGTGTAAAGTTTCGAATGGTTTCAAATTATACGATCAGAACGATCAAGACGATGATGATGATATCCCGGGTCCGATTCCTGGTAGGACCAAATTGAAAAATTTACTTTTTTAAATTAATTCTGATCTGGGTGTTCATAATGTAGGAAATTCTTTAGTTTGAGGCCAGGGAATTGGTGTTTCTCTAATCTATTTTAGACTATATTAACATTATTATTATATTGCACTTGATTTCTTTGGTCACATTTCCAGGAAAGAAGAGCACAACCTAGTAAAACAATGGTCACCGGACGGATCGACGGTAAACGTCTAAGGGGTAACAGACAAAATGGCCCGACCAAGTTTGTACGGCTCTCGGCGTGGGTTTTCATGATGCGTTCCACTATGCCAAAGACCACCCCGGATGGCACAGCGTTGTCATGCGAAGCTTGTTCCTGCGGGCGAGTCACATTAAGCTACCAGTGGAGCTCCTTGTGAACGAGTTCGTCCAGGGTAGTACTGCTACCTTATCTATCTGCCGCCAAGCAGTAATGTCAGCATTACTGTGTGAAATTACAGGCACATGGGACTTGTCAACTTATGTGTCAGGGTGACGGGCGCAGTGGTAGTGCTCCTCAGATCTTAGCAATTTAAAGCTCTGAGTGGCACGGCAACTGTTATGGACAGGTGTGAACTTACGTCACTTGATGGTATAAAAAAATATACGACTCTCGGAGGAGGATTATTATAGAATGTTGTGCCATTGACAGCAATGTAGAATACTTGCCTGCAACAGGATGTACGCCCATCGCCATTAGAGAACCAAGAATCAAGTACGCTAATACTTTCCAACCTGAAACAAAGCACATCTATGGTTTAAAGACGGCAATTCACATGGCTGTTGTGGCCATGATGCCAATGATGAATTGTTGTGATTTATTACTATACAACCCCAACAACAACCACAACAGCAAGATTTCATTTTAAAATTAAATTTTAGAACAAACTATCAAAAACAGCGAAATAATTTTTAGGTGCAAAAATTTTCGCAAAAATTGAAAACATGTTGGTTGGCACATTATTGCATATCGGCATCCATTTTTGGTAAATTTATTATGTTTTGTAAAAAATCACAGACCGCATAAAAATCATGAAGGTTCTAAAATCTCTCACTAGATGTCACTAGCGGCGCAGAATGCCGAAAAATCCAATACAAAGTCTTTTAACAAAAATATATAGGAGAATTTCGACAACTCGATAACTTGACCTGTAACTCAGCCGGTTAGAGCAGCGCTACGATATTACGTGGTCATGGGTTCAAGTCCCATCGGGTCAATGAAAATTTTCTGTGTGTTCGATATATGTGTTAATAATTATAACAAAACTATACTTCATTTAAATCCATTTTAAAGAAGCAAGTCACTGACCCGACCATAGACGGTTTAGTGATGGCCAATTTTATTGCCAACAAATCAATTAATTAATTTTAATGAATCGATTTGTTATAGGAGTCATACTGTTTTCATTACATAACCTATAAAAGCATATTTAAAATTTCCGAAATCTTAACTGTAAATCCTCCTTTGAATTCTTACACTTAGATACTCGTTCAATTGCGGTTGAATTTTCGATTTACTAATCGATTACAAAAACATTGATTGAATGAACTGAATGTTTTTTCTGTACAGCACTATGCAACCAGAGACTATTCATACATCTTTAATTAAAAAATAACCTCACTTTTTGACTACCATTTTTGAAGTACGATTTTACGATGTTATTCAAATGAATATTTTTGGAAAAAGTGATGAGATATCAAGTCAAAATCTTCGCAATATACGAGATTTATTGAGTGATTAGGTACTTTGGAAATTCAACCAAACCGTTTTGTTTACATTTTGTTTAAAATGGATTGAAACGGACTATAGTGTTGTTTATGATGTTAGTAATATGGTCCTGCAAGGTTGTATAGCATTGTAACCTTGTATACATACACACATCAAAAAAAGTTTGCGATCAATAGCATAAGCTCCTATAATTCTTTAAATTTAACTTTATCAAGAAAAAATCTATGTTGTATGCTTTCTTTAAATAGGAATACCCTGTTTGAAATTAAAATATAAAACTATTTTTTATTATTTATTTTAAAAAATTGAGCCATTAATCATAATGTAATAGTGATAGAAATTTCATAGAAAGAAAAAGACTGTTTAATTAAACTTAAACAACAATTTATTATTAAAAGGTGTGAATTCAATATAAAATAACTCCTCCCCTGGCTCGAATACATGCGAAGATCCTCCTGGGCATGCTGAGGATCAAGTTATCCAGCATTTCCTGGGGTAACCTATCCCATTCTTCAATAGCGGCTTCCCTGAGCTCTGGAACTGTCTGGGGACGTGGCTCACGGTTCCATACTGCTCGTTTAAGAGCATCCCACGCGTGCTCTATTGGGTTTAAGTCGGGCGAGCCGGCAGGCCAGTCTAATCGTGTGATATCGTATTCTTGAAGAGCAGCATTGACTCGTTGAGCTCGATGTGCGGGCGCATTATCATCGACCAGTACAAATTGGTGCCCATGGTTTACTCGGAATGGTCTGACGATATCATCAATAGCAACTGCTTTGTACATGTCTGCTGCCATGAAGCCCCGATACGGGATCAAAGGCGTTCTAGCTCCAATCATAATGCCACCCCAAAAGGACACCGATTTTCCGCCTTGCTGAACTGTTCCAGTGGCAGTTCTTTGTCTTTCACGGTCGCCTGGTCTTCTCCAGACACGGACACGTCGGTTATCTGGATGAGTGCTGATTCGGGATTCGTCAACGAAGAGACAGTTTTGCCAAATGTTTTCGTCCTCACCTTCTTCATTTTGCCGAAGTCTAGCCCACTGCAATCTTCGTTGTTGACGTTGCCGGGAATTGAGCGGAGCTCGCCAAGACCTCCGTGCTTGTAATCCAGCCAGGTGCAAGCAATTGCGAACGGTCTGCGTGCTAACTTCAAGCCCAGAGGCGGCCCTGACTTCTGCTTTTATTTTAGTGGCGTTGATTGTTGGATCACGGGCTGCCAGCAATCTAATATAGCGCTTTTGGGCAGCTGTCAAAACAGTTGGGCGACCGCTGCGGGGTCGGTCAGCTAAATTCCCCATTCCGTGATACCTCTGCAACGTAGCCACGACACGGGATTGGGATATAGCAAGTCTGCGTGCTATTACGCTCGTGGTGTATCCTTCTTCCCTCAAAGTTACTATTCTAGCTCGTAAAACCTCTGATAATCCTCTTGGCATTTTTTCAATCACAACTTTCCGCGAAAAATATCTTGAATCGCTTATAATTAACTAAATCAGATTTCTGAATGAGCGTAAGCTAGGACTGAAAGCCTTTTTATATGAAAAAACAATTGAACGGGGTCATTGTTTTATGTTCTAATTTATTTTTGAATAAAGAATCTAAAAAGAAGAAAAAATCATAATATAATCTACAGTAACAAAAAAGATTTCAGTTTTTCGAAGTGATCGCAAACTTTTTTTGATGTGTGTACAACGTGTTTCAATGTATATGTTATATAGGCAGATACAACATGCATATATTTCAGTATTAATAACTTACCGTACAACTTCACTACAACAGCGTCAAAGAACAGCTGTATCACCAAATTGACGAACTCAAGCGGTGTGGGCGGTTTCGGGTTAACGACAAGTGGTCGTATAGCGTAGAATAAAGGTTGCAGCAACAACCAGCACAACTTGCCGCCAGTTGTACAGAATAGTTTTGCTTCGAGCAGTGTGGGAAGGTCGGTATCTATTATTTCGTCGCCTTGATACTGGAATTTAAAAAAAAATATTAAATTTTAATTTTTATTGAATTGATATTCAATTTTTTTTATGTGAAATTACGCCACTAGTTTGTTATAATTATTAATACAAACAACATTATTTTTTTTAAATAGTGTTACATCAAAAACGTCGTTAAAAACCAAAACAACGATCTGCATTAAGCACATAGAAAAAGCCGTACGGTTCGCTAGTCCATTCCGTGGCTTAGTTGGCATAGCACGGTTTATTGGAAGACGTTGGATCGAAACCAGGCAGACCTGACGGATTTTTCTATCTGCTTGTTGTCGGATCTTTGCATCTGGTTTTTAACGCTGGTTCGTTCCGTGGCTTACTTAGCGTCTGGCACGGTTTACTAGAAGACGTCGGTTCGAATCGAAGGAATTTTTTCTAAGTGTTCAGTCTTAACCTATTGGAGTAATTTCACAAAAAAAAAGTGATTGTCATGGTTGTCAAACATGGTGAAATAAAAAAAAACTTAACAAAATTACAGTATTTTTATTTTTTTATTACAGGGTGCTGCAGATCGGGTCAAAATCAAAACTACGATGCGACGTCGCATAGCAGAAATTTACGAGCTCGCACGACGCATCGCAAGAATTTGCGAATTGCATCGCGCATTTCTGTTAATCGTCTTTGTGTTTTTTTCCAATACTTTCTTATCAATAACAGCAGTGCAATACTCTTTTTACGATCCATGTCGCTACCTAATTTAAAAAATACGGTCAATAAGGCTGATGATCGTCGAAGGAATGGTTACCCGAACCGTGGCAATGAGATGTATTGCCGCAAGAAATCGCATCGCGCCGATTCGCAGTTTCGTGTCTCGACCCTATATTGGGACCCGAACTCCCTCTCT